GCCTATCCTCCTGTGTTGAGCTTATAAGGCAAGGGGCAGTGCAAAGGACTGTAGCATCGAGGTCTGAGTATGGTACACTGCACCAGTGCTGGGCTGCTGTGCACATTTGCAGAGCTGTGCTGTCATCCGACAGCATCTTCAGTTGACAAAGTGCAACCACTTTCAGAAAAGAGCAATGGGTTGGGAGTTTACTGCATTTTCCTGCAGACTGAACAAGCCTAGAAAGAGGCAGCAACGTAATAGCCAGCACAGCTTATGATGGTAAGTGGTTGTAGGTCACGATTCAGCCATATTGACACTTCCTTCACAAACGTTTTTCTCAATGTTTGCTCACCAAGGTTGTGACAACGTTAGGCCTTCAGTCCAGAGATGAGGTAGACAGACAGAACACCACATCTAATTCCACCCTACCACCAGTTATACCTTCATGCAACTGTGGAAAGCGGCAGAACCATGGCTCAACCCCATCACGGTTGCCAGGCATTGCCACTTAGGAAGTAACATTGTGACATTGGGAAACCTTCCAACTAACAATTCCCGCCTCAAACATGACAGTCTGACCAGCAATCTCTTAAACACTGCTACAGACCTTCATATCAGTATTCATATCAGTTTGCTACTTTTTACAGACTCTTCCAGAAATCTGCTCTGAACAAGATGAAATGGATTTCCTGATGGAGGCTTTGATTATCAGGTAATAGTGAAAATTCCTCTCTCCTGTGTTCTGATGCCTTAACAGTCACTTCTCAATACTTTGATGGATTACTGTAACAGATCAGAAATATCAGTCATGAGTAAGTTCAAGGGGAGTTGGTTGGACAATCAAGCCTACAGTCCTTTTGCCTCTTCTCTAACCTAGGGTCACATCTAGTCACATTGACAGTGTATCCTTATTGGATGTACCTTCCAGGTTTTACATAATAAGCTTACTTCTTAAACTTCTTCTCTTTCAAGCTACTGAGCTCTAACTCCTCCCAATTCCTAATTTTATTTTCTAACTTGATTTAGGTCATTTTTACTGCTGTTCTTACTTGCCTTTTGGGCATCATTTTGAGCCTTTGACCTTAACAAGCCTTACTTATGTCCTTTATTATGAGTTGTGGACCCCATTCATAAGACTGTTAGGACCAAGTCAAGCCGTCGGCAAACGTCTGATAAAATGGTTCCAACCATCATCACTTCTACAGATGAAAGATCAAAATGAACAGAAATCCCTTGGTTAGAATATAACCCAGTCCCTGCTAATTTGCTTAGAACAGTTGGATTGAAGGAAAAGAAAAATCATCCAGTCTACTGGAGGATAATTCATCAATGTATTCAAATTTATGATCTTTGTAAGGATTGGCATTAAAAGAAATTCCTCATTTTAAATGTCGCAGATTTCATGGCAGTCCTGCTCATAATCAACATTCTGGGCTGGTAGTCTTTACCTATGAATAATATCACTGTGGAGTTTTAAATGCCAACGTAGAAAACTAACAAATGCCGAGCAAGAGCTTTGAAATAGTTGATTACCGAGTAGCATTTCTGAATATCAATCTACGACATGTGAAGACAACAAGTAAAACCAAGCATTCAGTGAGGCACAGCTTTATCATGACCTGCATTTCAGGCATATCCACCATCCTGTTCCTTCTGTTATATTACACGAGTACAGTTAAGAAATGCTGATGAGGGCTAAAGGCAGGAGGATTATTTTGTCTGGCTCCCTCCCTGCAATTGGGAGTCCTAGTCCAGGATTCTGTCAAGGTAAACTTGCAGATTGAGTCAATAGTTAGGAAGGCAAATGCAACTTTGGCAGAGATGTACTTCTGTGGCAGTGTGCTCCATAAGACACAGAATTAGAGGATCTATAAGGCTCTGGTCAGGCCACATTTGAAGTATTGTGGGCAGTTTTGGGCACCATATCTCAGGAGAGATGTGCTGGCCCTGGAATGGGTTCAGAGGAGGTTCACGATAATGGTCCCAGGAATGAAAAGCTTAACATATGAGAAAGGTTTGAGGTCTATGGGTCTATAGTCGATGGAGTTTAGAAGGATGAGGGGGGATCTAATTGAAACTTACAGAATAGTGAATGGCCTGGACAGAGTGAATGTTGGGAAGATGTTTCCATTGGTAGGAGAGACTAGGACCCGAGGGCACAGCCTTAGAGTAAAGGGAAGATCTTTTATAACGGAGATAAGGAGAAACTTCTTCAGCCAGAGAGTGGTGAATCTATGGAACTCACTGCCACAGAGGGCTGTGGAGGCCAGGTCATTGAGTATATTTAAGACGGAGATAGATAGGTTCTGATTGTCAAGGGGATCAAGGGATACGGGGAGAAAGCAGGAGAATGGGGTTGAAAAACTTATCAGCCATAATTGAATGGTGGAGCAGACTCGATGGGCTGAATGGCCTAATTTCTAATCCTGTGTCTTATGATCTTACGCATAAGATTTCCATTTTTGACATTTTTGGCATCTTGTATTTGGAGTATCTGTATATTTTTTGAAGGAGGTAAAATGCACCTTCCTGCAAAGCTAACTTACAGTTCAATTTCCTAAACTCAAAATTCCAGAAGAAGTACAATAATAGACTTTACTTTTCAAAAATGAGGCCATCTGGCCCATTTTGCCAGTGCTGGCTCCTTCAAGTAGTTATCCAATTATAGTCCAACTCTTTTCTCCCTTCCCTGCAGCTCTGTGTAAAAGCTTCCTAATCTCTCCCACTTGCATTGTAAGGGAACCAACCCTCTTCCCAGTCAAAACCCTTATAGCCAGAAATTTGTTAAATAGTATTGTTTAAGAAACTTGTCTACATTTTACACAGAAGTAATCTATCCAAAAATAGAACAGTTAATTGAGATGAGAAGTCGACTGTAGGTGGAATATTTAAAGTTTTTGAGAAGATTTGTAGCTCAGTTTGTGGATGAGGTTGTAGACATGCTCACCAAGCCGGCGTGTTTGAGTGTAGATGTTTTGTCACCCTGCGAGGTAACATCGTCAGTGCGCCTCCGGTGAAGCGTTAGTGTTCTGTCCCGCCTGTTATTTATATGCCTCAGTTTGCTGGGGTGGTTGGCATTACTTCTGGTTCTGTTTTTCTGTGATTTGTATATCGGGTCCAGTTCAATGTGTTTGTTGATGGAGTTCGGGTTGGAATGCCAGGCCTCCAGGAATTCCCTGGCGTGCCTCTGTTTGGCTTGTGCTATTATGGATGTGTTGTCCCAGTTGAATTCGTCTCCTTCTTTTTCCGTGTGTATTGAGACCAGTGAGAACTGGTATTGTCTCTTGGTGGCTAGTTGGTGGTCGTGTTTCCTTATTGTCAGTTTTCTTCCATTTTGGCCTATGTGATGTTACTCACAGTCCTTGCATGGTATTTTGTGTATTACGTTAGTTTTTTTGGTTGTGGGAATGGGATCCTTTACGTTCATCAGTAGCTGTCGCAGGGTGGGTGTTGGTTTATGGGCTACCCTGATACCTAGGGGTCTGAGTAGTCTTGTGGTCGTCTCTGATGTACGGTGGGCTGACTAGTGTGTCTGGCCATGTTGTGTCTTTCTGTTGCGGTCTATCACGGAGGTAATGGTGGATTGTGCTTTTTGGGTATCCATTCCTTTTTAAAAACTCTGTATCAGTGCTCCTGTTCTCCTCCCCACTCCGTATAAGTGCTCCACTCCAACACCCATAAATGGAGCTGCATCAGGACATTATTCAAATAAGCCACAACACACTGCAGTAACCTGGAACTGCACAAAGCAGAACAGGAGCACCTATATGAAGTTTTTAAAAGGAAGGAATACCCAAAAAGAACAACCCACTATTATCGCCACAACAGACCACACAAGAGGACACAACATAGTCAGACACACTAGTCACCCCAATGTACATCAGAGACGTATCAGAGACTGGAATTCCATCAACAAACACATTGAACTGGACTCTATATACAAACCACTGAAAAACAGAACCGGAAGTTATGCCAACCACCCCAGCAAACCAAGGCATATAAATAACAAGTGGGACAAAACACCCAATGCTTCACCAGAGGTGCACTGACGATGTTACCTAGCAGGGTGACAAAATGTTTGCAGTCAAACACACAACCTCAGGGTGGAATATTTTCCCCATTATTCCAAGATTCCAATGAGGTTAAATATTTTGCTGATTGCTGTTGATAAGTTGATGTTTCTTTGTTGTTCAGAATATTTTGTATTTTAACTTTGTTTTACCATCCCCTCCTTCTGTTTCAAACAGCAAGTTTAACCATCAGAACATTGTCCGATGTATCGGTGTGAGTTTGCAAGCCTTGCCTCGGTTTATCCTCTTGGAGCTCATGACTGGAGGAGACATGAAGACTTTCCTTCGTGAAAACAGGCCCAAAGCTGTAAGCACAAAGGCGAACGCTTGTTATATTCCTTGTAAGAGACCTGCCTCAGTCTCCACTGTACTAAGGAAGAGCTAGCTCGAACTTGTTCAGTCCTGACAACTATAATCGATTCTGTAAAATGGCTGAAAGTCTTTTCTACCCTCCTGTAGTTCCTCTTGAGACTTTTTGTGATGTGTTCTATGGGAAGCCAAACCATGGGGAACGTCTCCACTAAAACAAAATAAAAACCCAAAACACTGCAGATGCTGGAAATTAGAAACAAAAACAGTGTCAGCAGTGCTAACCACTGAGCCGTCTTGTTGCTAAAAGGGGACATCAGGGCAAGGACATAAGGAACCAGACTGATTTTCTGACATCCCAGTCGTGATGATTGCAAAGCCACAAACTTTGCCTTCGTGCATCCATTTAGCAATATCTGATCTATTACCTAGTGACTAGAGTTGCTGCTTATTTATTCAAAGTGGTTCACTTACTGATCTGAAATTGCTAGGAATGTTCCTTTAAATGCTCCCCATGTTTGGACCATCCTGAATGGACTATCTCACACCAGCTCTGCGTGTTACTGTATTTCAGACACAGGTATCGACATTGACAATGCTGGACCTTCTGAACATGGCCAAGGATATAGCTTGTGGCTGCAAATACCTGGAAGACAACCATTTTATTCACAGGTTTGTCATGAATTTCAGCTTTAGAACTTTATCTTAGAAAGAAGAAAAATGGATGTATGTCTTTTTTTAAAATCAGTCCTGTCCTTTGTGGTCAATGCTGATGAATTATACTGCAGCTATACGTATGCTCAGTGACAGTGGTATTTAATACTGTTTCTGTGTTTGCTTGTTTTTAGGGATATTGCAGCAAGAAACTGTTTACTAACCTGCAGTGGACCCAGGCGAGCAGCCAAAATTGGAGATTTCGGGATGGCTCGAGATATTTATAGGTATGCCATCAATAATTGATGTATTCGAGCTGAGCTGAAGTGAGCTCTGCAGCTTTCCAGTTGATCACCAGACCTGTTCAAATGCTTGTACGTTGCAGTGTGCCACCCTGTTTCTGGGCACCAGATCATTGTAACCTTTGTCTTTGTCTCAACATGGCCAATAAGCCCCACTTCACGTGGGGCACAAGTTGCAGATTGAGTTATCGTGTACCTCTGTCAACTTTTAACATGGTTGTCCCACCAACACCTCTCCTCTGTCAGCAGCCTCTCATTCTGATCCCACTCAAGCCTGGAGCTTCCCAAAGACCTATCCTAGGCCTCTCTGTTTCTCACAAACACGCTGCACCACCTTGACATCATCCAAGAACACAGTACAGTCTGGGTCTATATGCACACTGCCCTCAGATAGGTCAACTCCACTGGCCCCACCACCGTCTCCAAGTTGCCAGATTGTTTCTCCCACATTTGTGCCAAATGTTGTTTAATAGCAACCCTGGAAGAATCTTGTGACGGATTACAGTGTCACAAGGAATTATACAAAAGCAACTTATTGATAGTATGGAAAGATGTTATCTTCAGAAGCTTGGCTGCATTTATAGGTGTGGCTGTTATTTCTTGATCCAATGTGTTCTTGAATTCAGGGCAAGCTACTACAGAAAAGGTGGACGTGCCATGCTGCCAGTCAAGTGGATGCCTCCAGAAGCTTTCCTTGAAGGAATTTTCACCTCCAAGACAGACACATGGTAATATGACAGACTATTGTAACACAACAGGCTCACGGTAAATTGGGTCTTCAGTGTCACTCATGGGATTTAGGCGTCGCTGGCTGGGCCATTTGTGAGCTTCAATTGGCTCATGACCTTCTCTATCGCACACTTAATTGGAGCAGAGGTGGGAAAGCCCCAGGGAACCTACTTGCCACCCTCCTGCCCAATTAAATGCCCATCAACCCACCACCTGAATTGACCTTGGGGGAGGGCATTAAATTCCAACCTGAGCTGGTGCCTGTTTATCACTCAAAGAGTTAATGATTTCCCTGTCAGAGAGCAGCAAAAAGAAAGATGTGGTTGAGATGCAAGGAGAACCAGAAGAGAAACACTGTACCAGAGAGCTGTCTTCAGCCTCATCTATATGATACCGTTAGTAAAGAGTTTACAGTATTACTGAAAGCGAGTGAGCCGTAATCTGAATTAAGCACAAGCTAAAGATGCAAGGCATTCAATCTAGGCAGGAGTGTAGCCGCCAAGAGTGAGTTCAAACACCCAACACCCTAGAGAACCAAGAGAGTGTAAAATCCATGAAGAGACAAATACCTGGAATGATTGGATTTCCTTATGAGGAAAGATTAGACAGGCTGTCTCCTCTGGAGTTCAGAAGAGTCAGAGGTAACTTAATTGAAACATATAAGATCCTGAGGGGGCTTGATCGAGTGGATGTGGAAAGGATGTTTCCTCTTGTGGGAGAATCTAAATCTAGGGGTTTTACTTTAAAAATGAGGGTTCGCTCATTTAAAACAGAGATGAGACAAAAAAAGTTCTCTTACAGGGTTATGAGTCTTTGGAATTCCCATCTTCCAAAGGAAGAGGAAGCAGAATATTCAAATATTGTTAAGATGGTAGATGGACTCTTGATGACCAAGGGGGTGAAAGATTATCGGGGATGTGCAGGAATGTAGAGTTGAGGTTAAAATCAGATCAACCATGATCTTATTGAATAGCAGGGCAGGCTCAAAAGACAGAGTGAATAAAAACCAAAAGAACTGTGGATGCTGTAAATTAGGAACAAAAACAAAGTTGCTGGAAAAGCTCAGCAGGTCTGGCAGCATCTGTGGAGGAATAAACAGAGTTAACGTTTCGGGTCCGGTGACCCTTCCTCAGAACTCGGAGTTCTGAGGAAGGGTCACTGTACCCGAAATGTTAACTCAAAAGGCAGAGTGGCCTACTCTTATTCTTTGTTCGTGTGTTTGAATGCTCAAGCCTGTGGAAGAAGCCTTATCCCGACATTTAGCTGCAACAGTCTGAGACATAGTTCCCAGAGAGCCTGATCAATACTTAACGCTCAACCAACACCAAAACTAAATGATGTGGTCAATATCACATTGCTGTTTTTGGAACATTGTTGGTTTCTGGAACACAAATTTCTGAACACAACTTGTTTGCTGCTTTACTCCCCATCTCAGCAGTAAATTTTCATTGGTAGCAAAGTGCTCTGGGACCTTCCCAGGACAAGAACGTAAACACCAAGTTCTTTCATTCTTTCAAACGTTACTCCAGGTCATTTGGTGTGTTGCTGTGGGAAATTCTGTCACTTGGATACATGCCATACCCCTGCAAAAGCAATCAGGAAGTCTTGGAGTTTGTAACGAGTGGTGGAAGAATGGACCCACCCAAGAACTGCCCTGGGCCTGTGTAAGTATGTCTGATCTCAGGTCAGTATGAATTTGACTAGTTAGATGTAACAACACCAACAAGTGTTTAATCTTTAATATCACTGAATCAGAATCAGAACATAAGGCTCAAATTGGATTAGCCATATTGCTAGATAAAGGTCAGTCACACTATTAAACAGGATCAACAACCTTGCTGAATAGAGGCCAATAAAATTGATGAATCAGTTTCAGTGAAGATTTTCTGGCACGGTGGATGGCGTTCCTGTCTCTCATCCAGAAACTTTACATTTCAATTCAACCCCAGTACTTGCCAGCCAAGGAAGGTGTGTTCATAACACAGTCCAACAGGTTGAGATTCAATTTGCAAATCCTACCAACATATGCCAATAGCAGGAGATAAAACTGGGAGAGTTTGTTGATCAGCCAACAAATTTGGAGTCTCTCCTGAGGTGTAAAGCATTAATGTTAAAAATGTAAATACATTATAAGATCAATATAAGATCACATGGCAACGGAATCCACGTGATTCTATGTGAAGTCTTGTGCCAATCCTAGGAAATGTTGCTCAATAAAAGGTCAAGTTTACCAACAGCGATACTTCCCACAGGCTCTATCGATCCTAACCCCCAAGGACACAACCCAGACTAAGATCCATGATAGTGACAGATCTACAGTTATTATCTACTACTGCAAACCATAACTTGCACATAAAAATACCTGTTGCCACAACAGCACAGAATACTCTGAGTGAACTGTAACACCACAGGATCAATGATTGCTAAATGCAGGTAGTAGCGAGTTGCTTTTCTGTAACACCTTTCACAACTTCAAGACATTTCAAGATACGTTACAGCCATTAAAGTACTTTTTGAAATATAGTCACCATTGTAATGTCAGAAAAGAAGCATCCAACTCTCACATGCTGCAGTCTGTGTAAAAATACAGATAAGTGGAAGCCCCATTTCTAGTGTTCCAACATAGTGCTGGTTGTGTTCATGGGCAGAGCACCTTTAACTTAACTGGAGTGACACCAGAGCTGCAAGACTTGGCCTCAACATCAGGCAGGGGATATCAGCATGGTATTTCACCCTTTCTGATCATCTTCCGTGAAATAGTGGACTCACGGACACCCGGCAAGGGGAGGAGTTGAGTTATGATGCTCTCCACTGTTGAGGAGACTGAATACATTCACTGCTGGGATTCACAGATGTAAAATGGTGACCTTGGTGTAGCAGCAAGACTTGAAAACAAATATAAAACATGCTATATGTTATAATGACTTTTGGGAATACTGGAAAACCAGCTTTTTGTGAGGATCTAGCTTGTTGGCCACAGGCATTTACAGAATAATACACAGAAAAAGCAGGGGTAAGAAGATTTGTGGCAGGATTCCAGGATTAGAATAAATCACCACAACAATCTTTATGGTCCAATCTTGAGCAACACTAAACATAAGCAAGAATGATTAAATAGTTACACTGAATAAGTAAGGTAATGATTCTTATTAATTCTTATTAAACAGAAGGTAAGCTTCAACTTAAATTCAACCCAGTAAGTGGACTTAATCCATTTTAATCTCTTTTACTGTCTTTTTCACTCTGGTAGGCTTTAAAATATACAAAATACTTTACGGTCTGGGTCTGGCTACACAGATTATCATACACATCTTTGGCATATCCCTAGCAATGTGACTCCCTGACTCCAGTAAAGATATTACTGACAGTCACAAACCATGACCCACCAGACACAGAATCACCTTGGTATCTCTTCCATTGTGGACGTTTCTCTCAAATGATTACTTGGCCCTATCCAATTCTCCCAAACTCCCTCTTCTCCCCTCTAACTATACAGATTTGAGCTATTTGATGAAACACAGTACACTGGCTATCTGCAGTCTCCAGTTTAGCCTTCCTCCCTCTTATATTTTTAAGACCAAACCCACCAGTTTATTATTGAGTACAACTCCATCCTCAGCAATTTTCTCCATAGCAACGTTGGGGCTTTCATGTATTGAAAAACCTCTCAGCTGTGTTAAAATTTCAAATATTAATTGTAAAAAATTTTATTTATTTATTTATTTACAATAAACTGTAAATAAAAAAAATACTTCAATTTATCTTAAACAGATACCGGAGCTATATGGCTTTAACCCCACAGTAGAAATAGGTATAGCATAGAAATTTCAGGAGAGGAAGGATGAAAAATGGGAAGGCCTACTTCACATAGTGTTAGCCTTGGCGCTGTGGCAAGATTCACTTCACGGATGATGGTAAAAGATAGGTGGGACTTGTGCACAAAATCCAAACCAAAACTCCAATTCAGTGCTGTAGGATTAATGCAGCATCTGAGGAGCTGTCCTTCTGGTGAGACGCTAACCCTCAGGTGAGTGTAAAAGATGTCTGAGTGCCCTTCGGAGAAAAACAGGTAAGACTCCCCAGAAATCTGACAATTGTTTATCACCCAACCAACATCTTGAAGGCAAACTATTGGATCATTATCTTGTGACTGTTTGTGGAACGGTGTTGTGCACAATTGGGCCATTGTGTTTCTCTGTTTACAACCACGACTATTTCATAAGCCCTTTAGAGGGATTTTGGGATGGCTATAGATCATGAATGGTGCTATATAAATTCAAGTTCTTCCTTTCACAATAATTTTGTTAAAAAGATGGCAAATGCGCATTGGGTGAATTTATTGAATTCTTTTCCTTTAGATATCGCATTATGACCCAGTGTTGGCAGCACCGACCAGAATACCGGCCTGATTTCTCCACCATATTGGAAAGAATTAACTACTGCACACAAGTATGGAGTTATACAAGTTCTTCATAGAGACATAGGAGGTAGAATTAGTGGGACACAGGTGGAATAAGATTAATTTTTAAAGCCGCTCTTGATTTTCCTCTGTTGTAATGATAAGATTCCAAGCTAGTTTCTTTGATTAAACAGCTAATCTTTGGGTCAATTAAAGGATGTTTAGGAATCAAGCAGACAGTGATCATTGAACTTGTTTGATTGAGCTTTCTTCGTAGAAAGAAACTGAATTTTTGTTTAACAGTAAGGTAACTGTGGATTCCAGCACTGTGGCCTTAAATGGAGAAACACATTTGTGGGGGGAGCATGGCAGGCAGAGGAACAACTAAGGAACCATTGGTTCAAAGACAAAATGGTGGCACAAAATGGTGGCTCATTGGTTAGCACTGCTGCCTGACAGCGCCAGGGACCTGGGTTCAATTCCAGCCTCAGGCGACTGACTGTGTGGAGTTTGCACGTTTTCCCCATGTCTGCATAGGTACCCTCCAGGTACTCTGGTTTCCTCCCACAGTCCAAAGATGTGCAGGTTAGATGAATTGGCCATGCAAAATTGCCCATAGTGTTCAAGAATCTGCAGGCTAGGTGGGTTAGCCATGGGAAATGCTGGATTACCGAGATGGAGTGCGGGGTATGGGTTTGGGTGGGATGCTGTTTGAACGGTCGGTGTGAACTCACTGGGATAAATGGCCTGCTTCCGCACTGTAGGGATTCTATGAAAACAAAGGCTGATGGTTTCGAAGAGCACGTGTAAAACAAGGCCCAAAACCTGAAACATGAGGGTCTTTTAGTGGGGGAAGGGGCTGCCATCTAGCAAGGGATTGCTTCAAGTGACACAATGACCTGACTGTACTGATCATGATGTCTTAATGAAGGCCTGAGTGTCAGTCAAGGCACAGTGAGATGTCTGACCAACAGGCAAGTTGTAGAGTCAGAAGACAGGCTATTTTGCAGGTCCACAGAAGAGCTTTAGACAGACTCTATGTTAACGTAATGAAGGCTGTGGGGAGAAAGCAGAAACAGGGTGTTGACTTGGACAATCAGCTGTGGTCATCTCGAATGGCAGAGCAGACTCAAAGGGCTGAATGGCCTACTTCTTCTCCTAATTCTATGGTTCTATGTTTCTAATACTCAAGTCGAGTGTCTTATACAAGTTCAACGTTAGCTCTTTGCTGTTGTACTCTGTAACTGAAAATCCACATTACGGTCTAATTGCCTTGTTTGTTCATTTTCAGGATCCAGACATTGTCAACACGCTCCTCCCTGTTGAGTATGGCCCAACGGCAGAGGACGAAGGGAATACGGTGATGCGACCTGACAGCTCTGGTGGTGTGACCCCACTGCTGAGGGTCAGCTCGACTCTCGCTGCCACTCGCCCTCACACTGCCAGTCAGATGGCGGAGTTCCTGCAATCCGGGTCGAAACTCCAAAACATTCAGGAGTTGCCAAAGGGAGAAAGCTTTGGCACCAAGGTGGAGAATGGCTATCAGACAGCCCCCACCAGCGGCCACTGGCTTTACTATGAAGCCGGGGCGGCTCACTCCTCTGAAGTAAAACCTCAACAGGAGCAGAGGTTGAGGAACCAGACCAAAACCTTGTGGAACCCCACTTATGGATCCTGGGTCTCCGAGAGTTACCAGAGAGCTTCAGTGCCCTCCGAGGTGGGAGAGAAGCCCCTGAATGCCGCTGAGAGGGAGGACTCGGGCTTAGATTGCAACAGCAGTTCCCCACCAAGCTCCCGGGAATCCCCTTCCCCAGGCAGCCACGGCCTGGCTCTAGAAGTTGGAGGCCAGTTGCTTCTCAAAGCGCAGAGTTTCCCTTGCGGAAATATCAATTATGCTTATGATGGACTGGGCATTGATACAGATGGTGCCCAGGTACCACGGGACTCAAATGAGGAGGACGGTCCCAGGCAGAAGATGGCAGGTCTCAGCAAGGAAATGCATTGCCTTTACAACCCAGAGAAGTCAGCAAGAGATCGTGACTCAGGCCTGTCGCTGTCAGAAGACCTCAGCATCACCTCTGTATGAAACCTAACAAGGATCTGAGATACATGCCACATTGCACAGATCAAGTTTCAGTTATAATCTGTAAGAAGCAAAGAGACACAATTCCATTTGACACTGTACCTAGATTGGATTGCAAGCTCCCTCCAAGGCCGGGAGATCTTGATGGGGCTCAAGGTAGGAAATAAGCAGCCTCATCATGTTGGAAGGCCATTAAAAACCTAGACAGGATTCTTTCACTCTGCTCATTTTTCTTTGATATTATTGACTTGATAGGAAGAGTACGTAGCCCAGAAGATCTCTAATCAGGACTCTGTAGCTGTTTCCACGTTAGTCCTGCAAATCCTCCTTCTTGTAAATGGAACTCTTGGCTAAGTGCCATGTTCTCTATAGAACAGCCCGGTAAAGAACTGACTAATCTGATTGAATTGGGGGTGATCAGCTCACACACCAGAAGAAGCTAGAATTCACATCTCTGACCCCAGCAATACTTTACCAAGTGAGTGAGAAAGGGCTGGGGCTTTGAAGTCATTGACCTATTTTAATGAGGGAGATCTGATGTTCTGGTGGTACAGATTGGGATTACAGTTCATGTTGAAAGTCCAACACTGGAACCACTGCAATATTTTGACCAACTATTCCCAATTATTCGGACCAGTTTGAAAGAGTTGTCCATCTGCAGTTGTTGTGAGCTGCAGCTGTATCCCTGGTTATCATCCCAAAGATGTACTTTGAGGATCATTGAGAGACTATGCATCTCGTATTCCTGCAACTGGAGAAAATATACTGGGGAGAAAATGTCACTAATTAACTGAGGAATCAGGAAGAAACTACATTGATGTTTTGTAGTATCATCTGGTATCAGAAAGAAATGCTACAACTTGATTTTTGTTGTGTTCGTCTTCGAAGACTGGCCTTTGTAGAAGTCTCTAGATTTTTTTTGTTCGGTATTTTCTGATCTGAAATGAGAATTGGAGTGGGAGAGTAATTTGAACAATAATTGGGGTGGGGGCTATGTAACTGAGTACTTGTTTGATGTTTCTGTAGCACAGTTTGACCCAAGACCCAGCTCTTCAGCTTCTCACCTTCACCGTCCAACTACATTCAGCATGTCCTAACCTCCCTTCCTAGTTTCTGTCGCACTTAGAGCATGATGGCAAAATCTCCTAAAGCCTCCAATATATCTTTCACTTTACGTGGTGAACTCATTTCATGTAGGTCATTCCCATCCCAGGTCCACCCATGACTTGGTCAGACCTATTCCTCCCGTGTACACAAAACTCTGTTGAGTATCTTACGTGTTATTGACGTGAAGACTGATCTATCGAATCTTTGTCCTTTCTGAGCGAGTGAAGGTTTTTCCAGAAGACAATAACTTCGGCAAGACTAATTAGCAATGCATCATCAAAGATTGCTCCAGAAGCTCAGTGCTGGATGCAGTACTGCTGGAGACAGACTTTCCAATCCTTCCTGATAGCTTTGGTTGGAAGTGCATTGAGTGCAAGGTGCCAACTTGGGTTGGTTGTATTCCTGGATGCTTTATCATACGCCCTCCTCCCCCGCTCAGTCAAACAAACATTCCCTTTCCAATGTTGTTCAACATTGTTTTCAAGGAAGTGGGTGAATACAGCATTTGTTCAATGCTCTATTGTATTTTACTCATTAGTTGCTCCCAGCAATGAATCTGCAGAGCAATTCTGGAGGGCTGCCAAGACAATTCAGCACCCTGCTTTATGTTAGCTCCTCTGCAAAAGTTTGTATTTATTTTTTATTCAAATATTTCTTTTGGTTCAAACATTGAGGATTTGGAGTTTGTGGGTACATTGACTTTTGACAATAAATGTAAATGTATGTGCCAATCACATACGCCCTGAATGTGGAATCTTTTCAGCTGTATCAGGTAGTTAAAACACTGTGAGATTACTTTAAATAATAGTTAATGTTGTTACAGTTGATAAGTTATTTTATCTCAGAACCTCAGTAGTTTACTAACGTACTTAACTCAATTGCTGATTAGAACTAACTTGCTTCAATTGACTAGCAAAAGTAAAATTCTGCAGATGCTAGAAATCTGAAATAAAAACAAAGGGGTAGCAATTCTCAGCAGTGTCTGTGGAGAAAGAAATGTTCAAATGTTTTCAAGTTGGAGTTCTGAAAAAGTGCCATATTCAACCTGAAATGTGAACTCTGTCTGTCTGTCTGTCTGTCTCTCTCTCTCACACACACACCACAGAAGTTGCCAGACCTGCTGATTTTTTTCAGCACTTTCTGTTGCTATCCTTTCAGCCTTGCAGTTGATCTAACAAAGGCTGGGACTAGTCGAATTTTAAAACATAATATCACAAACATTGAAAATGACAGTCAAAAAGTGTTGGAAACACTCAGTATGTCAGGCAGCATTTGCAGAGGAAAAAACGAGTTGAATGTTTCAGGTCAATAACTTCTCATCTTGCTTACTATCTCCTCATGTGGCTCATCGTCACATTTGTCCCGTCACAGCTACTGTGAAGCACCTCGATACATTTCACTATGTTGAAAGTGCTCTATAAATGCAAGTTGTTGTTGTTGTACTAACCAAGTTCAGGTTTCTGTTTATGTCATAAAGACTGGTATGATTGGTCTGACTGATCTTAACTGCTGTTCATGTTACACAGATTGTAATTGGTCTAAGTAAGCTTCCTATTTGGTTCATGTCATAAAGACTTTGGCCTGAATAGGCTCAGTTATTCAGTTTATATTGTACACTCTGACATTGGTATAAGAAGTTTAATCTTTTCTTTATTCCTTCTGTGGGGGTAGTTGGGGAGAGAAATCACTTTTGCTTCACAATAATATTAAGATATGATTTTGTTTTAAATTGATTTTCGCATCTTTTACTTTTTGGTCATCCGTCACTTTTTTGTTATCTCTTTACAGAAGAATGCTTCATAAATTGCGTATCTTTCAATTACAAATAGAAATGTATTAAAAGTGATTAACACAAAACTGCAAGCTCTCTCGATATCTGGCTGCCATACACAGGCCCACTTTTCAACTCCTCATTGGCCTCAATTCCATTAGTGGCAGTGTCACTAGACTTAGTTTAAGGCCCTAGGCTGGGAAAGAGGGAACATGAGCCTGGGTTTCTACATCAGTTCACTACTGAGGGATGGAGGGTGGAAGCAATATTATATATAGTGAGCGCTGGGGTGGACCGTAGTAAGGAGAGAGTGGTGGTGATGAGACAAGATCATTGTTGAACAGTATTTTCATGCTATCTCGGTTTTCCCATCATGTATCATATTTGAGAGATGACCAGTGATTGGGTAACATAGGAAACAGGAATAGGCCATTTGGCTGATCATCTACCTCTCCACTACTTTTTCCCCAGCATCCCCATCTCCTTTGCTGTCATCAGTATCAAGAAATGCCACAGGGTGAAGAATTTCATAGATCCACCACTCGCCAAGCAAAGAAATTCCTCCTCATTTCAGTATTCAATAGCCTGCCCTTAACTCTGAGGTGGTGACCCCCAGTCCTGGACTCACAAGTGTATCCACATCTACCCTGTAAGAACTCTGTAAGGTTCAATGGGATCACCTTCCATTCTTCAAAATTCTAGGGAATGCAGGCCCAGTTTCCTCAATCGCTCCTCGTAAAAGAATCCAGCCACCCTAGGGATTAATCTGACGAACTTTCACCACACTCCCTCTGTGGCAAGGAGACCAAATGTACACAGTACTCCAGATGCAGGCTCACCAAAACTCTATACAAATGCAGCAAATCATATTCTGTGCTCAAATCCTCTTGTGAAGGCAAAATATACCTTTTGCCTTCCTCATTGTTTGTTGCTCCTGCATATTAGCTTTTAGTGACTCACAGACAAGGACAGCTGCACTCAGCTCTGATTATTTAAATAATATAGTGCCCTTATATTTTTTTACCAAAATGAATTCACTCATTCATGTTATTTTCCAACCGCCATGTGCTTGCCCATTTGCTCACCTTGTCCAAATCCCTTTGAAGCCTCCTCAACTCCCACCTAATTGTGTGCCGTTAGAAAATTTGGAAATGTTGTACTTGGTCCCTGCACGCGCGCACACCCACCCACACACACACACACACACACCCACCCACACACACACACACACACACACACACACACACACAAGCTCTGTAGATTGAGCTGCCTTTGAAATTCTGTAGGACTGTACGTGACATCAGATGGAGATCACAGGGATGGAGGGGGGAACTCTACTGAGGGAGAGAAAAAAAAATGAAATTCTCTTTCAACTGGAATGCACAGATAATTTACTAAAGGATAAATTGCCTATTCTTCGGCTGTGAAGACACAACTGTGAACAGCCATATCAGGGGGCGTTCTCTGCATAGTGCAATGGGGTGGGTCAAATCATAATGGAATGGAACCTTCTCACTGGGATAATACGCTCATAAATTTATCAATCCATGAGGAAGTTGCTGAATCCAGTCTCCTCATTAGAATTAATTGTACAACACTCTTTTTACAAAGGAGTTTTAGTATTTTCAGAAAATAAGTTGTGCAAATTTATCCTGAAGACTCCAATTTAACGAAAATTGTACCATTTAAGCAGAGCAAGGCACAAGGGAAGGTCGCAATCTCCAAAGTTCCCTGTTTGTGTTCACAAATTATCCTTATTTGGAAATTTTTTTTTTATTGTTACCAATACAATAATTTTGGAAGTCCCTATGTAACAGCACTCGCATGTGCACTGCAGTCACGTTTTCAAAAACAATTCAGAATCTGCAATAAATTTTGGCCTTGCCAGCGAAACTCTGATCCAGTCAGTATCCAACTGCTGTCCACTGCTCCATGTTGGGAAGTGTCACAATGTAAAAGTCTGAATTAAGGTTAGAGTTTTAATTTAGTTGGAGAAATAAATGACACCCACTGTCTCAGCTTATGGATGCTTTGCAAAACCAGTGATGGCATATGGGCTGGTGAAACACTATTATTTGAATGTTCGAGCCTGCTGGATTGGTAAACCCCAGTGACTAATTTCCAATGTAGCAGGCATGCAGTTTTCTGCTGGCAAGCTACATGCTGGAATCTCTCATGAATTCAAATGGAAGTTGTTGCGCAGCAGTTTCGGGTGGTTCTAAAAAGATCCACAGTACTGTTTCAAAGAACAGCAGATGAGTTCACTGGTGTGCTGGCCAATATTTATGTGTCAGCTGATTTCATTGCAACAGAACATTATGTCATTGTCATATTGCCGTTTGTGGGAGCTTGTGGTGTTTAAGTTGGTTGTTGCACTTCTTACATTACAAAGTGACTAGACTTAGAGAAGTAATCTGCTGTAAGACACTTTGGTATGTCTTGAGATCATTGGAAGGCACAGTTTAAAATGCAAGTACTTTCTTTGTCCCTCCAAGTGTGGGACCTATGACGATAACTAACTGTATACTGCATCAGCCAAAGAGAATGACATTCTGCTACATTAAGCCTAGCACCTCTACTGTCACTCATGTGGCTG